CATTAGCACCTCTAGTAATATATTTACTGAGAAAAATGGTGACGTGTTCGATACTTATTTTACCCACTGTATATCTTTGAAACTCTCACAGGCTATATAAAATGCTGTGGCAGTGGGCCACAATTGGCCTGCGAGCTTTTAGTTCGACACTTTTTTTATGGACAAAACTGATTTATAAAAATAAGTCAATGGCCATTAGACCACACCAATATTATTTTTATTATTATTTTTGTCAGTATGTATTTTTCATTTACCAGACAACATTAATTGTCCAACCTAAAAATACCTATATGACAATTTTTTGAGTATAAGACCCCTCACATCAAATCAGGAATTAGGTCAAATTTGGTCAAACTAAACTAAGCTCATTTTCAGATTCCTGGCTTTTGTAGCTCAGGGATTACAGAAACTCTACAAAAAATGTCAGCTGTTCTTATTGAAAATCCAGATATGAAAGCCTTCTTAAATAATTTCTGAATAGTAAATGCAAAAAAGTACAGGCATCAATACAAGTGGGAGTACAGGAACAAAAGAAGGGGTGTGATCATAGAGAACCAATAAAACTGCACCGTAACTGTGACCAGTGTGTGACATTCAGAAAAGTTATGTAATGACTCATGTTTAACAGCACCAACAAAGGACCGATTTTTGTATAAAATTTAACTTTTACAAAGCCAACCGTTTACCACAAATTAAAATAAAGCATCAGAGTTAGTGCTTCCTCTTCTCTCACATTTAAACTTAAGGGAAATTAACTTACTTCCTTAAAGGGACAGTTCAGAGTGGTGTTCTGTAAAATTATTATGAAAAATTATAATCTGACTGACCTTTTCTAAACAGCTCTTTGAAAGACTTCAGTTTAAACTGGTCACCTTCACTTTGTCATATGTCTTATTTTGAACATCATGCTTCCCATCAGTCGGTGAGGACAAACAAAGCCACTGCTGGCACCTCTTCCACTTTCAAAATGCAACGATAGTTCATCAGTAAAGCAGGGCCARTAACATTTAATTTGTGCCCCAGCTTTTAATGTTTCCTGTAAACAGACTGACAGAATTAGTACGATATGTCCTCAGCATGTTTTACATTAGGAAACATACTCATAAGCCGTTCAATTTACCGATTGCCAAGTCTGAAACATAGAGCCCTGGATGATTTTAAGATTAAACTGAAAATGTGATAAAAGGTCATACGATTCCTGCAACCTGTTTGAACAGATTATTCAAATTCCCCTATTGTTTCCACTACAGCTCAGACAAATAATCCTATGTTAGGAAACAAAAGCTTGACTTCTACTTCCATCCATTCTCCAAGGAAAGTCTGCAAACAATTTTGAACCCTGCTTTAAAACACTTTGTGAATTTCCTTCATAGTTGAACATTCAACTTAAAGTTGGAGTTGAGTTTAAAAATATCTTACCAGAAACATCAAATTACATGCAAACATGCTATGATTGTGAGCACACACAGTATAGTGACATRTGCCTTCATGTTTCTTATTGCCACAAGCTGTGTTTATAGAGGTGTGACAGTGCAAAAGCCGGATAAGGTCATCCATGTTAGATGAAAACAAAACAAAACAAAAAATAAAAGATTTCTAAGAATTTCCATCTTGTTCCATTGCAGGGACTGTCTCAGTATAAATACACAAGGTGAGGCAGTTGTTACAACATCCAGTTCACACTGGTACCACCAGACCAAAGCAGCAGAGCGGAAATATGAAGCCCAGAACTTCAGTGACCCTGGAAAGCTTTTGCAGACCCACCCCCTTCAACACACACTTGGATTTGAGAGCAATACTAGACAGATCGGTGGTCAGCAACTTGCTGCCCACTACTGACCTACTTTAAGGAGCAACTAAAGTTAGACTGAGGCTTGTATGCACTTCTGTTTGAAAAGGTCARCTTACTCAGCTGATAACCATATTTTACTTCCTTCAGTAATACTACCCCATAGAGCAGGTTAGTATGTTTTTGCTGCAGTATTTTCATTTTGACAGGCTCTGCCCCCCCTCACCCCACCACCTTCAACACTGGGTCGCAAAACTTCAGAGCGGCTCTCAAATCAGCTTTCAGGTCCAGTAAGAGCGGCCGCCTTCAGCATCACTGCTCCCCTGTGGATATTTAACAGACTCCAGCCCCAAACACAACCCAGTGCCAATTTAAAGTGAAATTTTAAAAGACATTTAAAAGCAGCAACAAGACACGAGTTCAGAGACATTTTGTTCTTTGAAGCAAACTCAACGCAAAACAAAGAACTAAACACAAAAAACGCACTTTTACGCTTGAAAAGTTAATATTTCACCTTGTTAACTCACCAGAAGGCCACCAGGAAAAGGTGCAATACAAGGCTTTCCTGAGGTCTGTAGAAATGCCCATAAAGTTCGCCCGACTGTTCCACACGGTCTCCTCCTGAAGGTGGTTTTGGAGCTGTCGCTCAGTAAAACGCGCTCCGACGGAGGAGCCACAAACATGAAGCTCCGCCCACTCATTCATGCTCCTGTGCTGGAATAAAGCAGCCAGTTTTCTCCAGATCTGCCCCCATAAGCGACTCAGAGATAACGACTACTAGTCTAAATAATAAATAAATAATTAATAATATAGCTATGTATTTCTAACAGTTAGGATTACATTGCCAACACACACACACACACACACACACACACACACACACACACACACACACTTCCTCAAAC